TGCACGGTGAGGCGCCCTCTCCCCAAGCTCAGGGTCCTCCCTAAAGTTGGGCTGCCCACCAAGGCAGAGCTGCATTAGGACTTTCGTGGGACCCTTCCTCCATAAACAAATATTAAAAATTGATATTTTATGACCATTGGTATGAAAATAAACATATTGATATTATATATTAGAACACCTTTTTTGGACTTTAAAGCTAATTTTTTCCCTTGCTTTTATTTTTTTATTTTATTTTATTTTTTTAAATATATCTTTATTGATTTCAGAGAGAGGAAAGGAGAGGGAGAGAGAGAGATAGAAACATCAATGATGAGAGAGTCATTGATCGAGCCCGCAACCCAGGCATGTGCCCTGACCGGGAATCGAACCCTGATCGCCTGGATCCCAGGTCGACGCTCAACCGCTGAGCCACACCCGGCCGGGCTCCCTTGCTTTTAAAAGAAATGAAAATATTTTCATGGGACCTCTGATAGTACTGAGGACCCTGGGCATTGTGCCTACTACTCTGGAGAAGCTCCAGATCAAAGGCAGAAGACACTCCCAGATTACCCCAGCCTGAAATAGTCTAAGATCTCCACGCAGGGAGACCTGCCCTGGCTTCACCAAGAGATGCTCTGGCCTCAGCTCCATGTGCCTGCAGGCAGAGTGCCTCCAGCTTCTTCTGTTTCCCAAGCTTTTGTCAGCCTTCTTCCCCTAATTATGGGAATTCTCCTGAATCCCCAGTGCTCTCCCGTCTTGAGTTATATTCTCTGATGTATGTCCCTTTTGAGATTTAAGGTTCCTCTAATTCCATGTCCTTCTGTCTGAGAGCTATCCCGATCCCTCCTATATCCCCCAGTTTGAGGGGTGCCGGAAGTCATACTCACGCCTCGAAAATCTGAAGACACACCTGCGGTCACACACGGGTGAGAAGCCATACATGTGTGAGCATGAGGGCTGCAGTAAAGCCTTCAGCAATGCCAGTGACCGAGCCAAGCACCAGAATCGGACCCACTCCAATGAGGTGAATGCCCTACCTAAGAGACCCTCCCCACTTGAGAAGCCACCTCCTGGGGAGATTCCCCCATAAGAAATCCCTTAGCCCAGCACCCGCTCCAGAGGTGAGTTCTTCCCACCTAAATAATTCACCTGGAGAAGGCCTTTCTGAAACTAAGAATTTCCTGTTACCACCCTACCCCCTACTTCTAACCAGCCAAAGGGCTAACCTAAAAAAGACCCGTTCTAACTAAAGGAGGCCCCTGACCCTTTCAACCCCTGAGTTTATGAGGCCTCACAGACCTGGGTTCACCCCTCATCTTTCCCAGGCCTGGGCTGTCAGTTTTCCCAATCTTTCCCCCATCCTCTCATTTTTTACTTTAAGGGCCCCACTCTCCTTACTTTCTTGGATGCTGTGTGTTCCCTCCTTACCCCTCACTTGATTCCACCAATTTTTTGCATTCCTTCTGCATTCTTCCACTTTCACACCTTTGCCGGCTGTCTTCATTTTCCATTCAACAGAAGCCGTACGTGTGTAAGCTCCCTGGCTGCACCAAACGCTACACGGATCCCAGCTCGCTCCGGAAGCATGTCAAGACAGTGCACGGTCCTGACGCCCATGTGACCAAGCGGCACCGAGGGGATGGCCCCCTGCCCCGGGCACCGTCCCTTTCCACGGTGGAGCCCAAGAGGGAGCGGGACGGAGGCCCTGTCAGGGAGGAGAGTAGGCTGACTGTGCCAGAGGGTGTCATGGTGAGACAACCCGGACAACCCTCTGCCTCCATATCCCCACCTGCCTTGCTGACATCTTCCCAACTCACCTGTCCCCTCCTATCACTCTACTGGGGCCAGTCCTCCAGTTGTCTCAGTGTTGCTCCTTGGACTAGCCCAAATCTAGCGATTTTAGTGTAATTACTTAAATGGTTCAGCAGATTCTTATATAGGACTTATTGTATTGTTCCAAGCCCTTTACATGTATAATTTCATGTATACCTCACAACAACTTCACAAGAAAGGAACTTATTTTCCCCATTTTCAGATGAGGAAATTCAGGCCTCGAGAAATTGTCCAAGGTCATAGAACTAAGAGGATGAATTTGAACCCAGGCGATCTGTGCTCCAGCCTAGGCTCTTCTTGTCTCTCCTACTTTGCCCTGTCCCTCACCTGCTCAGCCCTCTCTACACCTGTAAGCCTCCCCTCAACCCCAGCTATCCCCTCCTATCACTCTACTGGGGCACAGGCTTTTGGCCACTCACCAAGTTTAGGAAGCTGTGGGAAAAGGGGAAGGGTGCCACCCTCAGCCCTCATCTTCCCCACAGAAGCCACAGCCAAGCCCTGGGGCCCAGTCGTCCTGCAGCAGTGACCACTCCCCAGCAGGCAGCGCAACCAATACAGATAGTGGTGTGGAAATGACTGGAAACACAGGGGGCAGCACTGAGGACCTGTCCAGCTTGGATGAGGGACCTTGCGTTGCTGGCACTAGTCTGTCCACCCTTCGCCGCCTTGAGAACCTCAGGCTGGACCAGCTACATCAACTCCGGCCAATAGGGCCCCGGGGCCTCAAACTGCCCAGCTTGACCCACACTGGTGAGACCTGGGTGTAGTGGGTGGTTGCTAGGCTGAGATCTGGACCTTCCTCGGGGCTGGAGGGAGGGCTTCACCCGTGAGAGCTACAATATAGAAGCTTCGTACACTAGAAAGAGGTCCCCCTTCCTTAAGACACTTTCCTTCCATCCATCAGAAAATTGTGCTATACAAAATCTGTGAGGTGAATGCTGTCCCCTAGGATTGTGCAGTGTACAACCTGCACAACTTGCACAGCAGCCCTGAATCCCTGGTGACACAGAAGCAGAAAGGGCATGGGAGAAAGGAGCAGAACTAAGAGGTTAGAGTCAAGGAGCCTTTCCTGGGATTCTAGGACAAGGCTGTCCCGTGGGGCAGGCAGAGTTAGATTCAAGGGGCTTCCTGACCACCCTGCCTTTTCTCCCCATTGCTTGCAGGCACCCCTGTGTCCCGCCGCCTGGGCCCCCCAGTTTCTCTTGACCGCCGCAGCAGCAGTTCCAGCAGTGTCAGCTCGGCCTATACTGTCAGCCGCCGCTCCTCCCTGGCCTCCCCCTTCCCCCCTGGCTCCCCGCCAGAGAACGGGGCATCCTCTCTGCCTGGCCTCACGCCTGCCCAGCACTACTTGTTCAGGGCAAGATACGCTTCAGCCAGAGGAGGTGGTACCCCGCCCACTGCAGCATCCAGCCTGGATCGAGTGGGAAGTCTTCCTGGACCTCCCTGGAGAAGCCGAGCTGAGTATCCGGGATACAACCCCAATGCAGGGGTCACCCGGAGGGCCAGTGACCCAGCCCGGGTTGCTGACCACCCAGCCCCAGCCAGAGTCCAGCGGTTCAAGAGCTTGGGTTGTGTTCACACCCCCCCCACCATGGCAGGGGGAGGACAGAACTCTGATCCCCGGCTCCCAGCCTCTGTCTACTCACCACAGCCCCCCAGCATCACTGAGAACGTCGCTGTGGATACCACAGGGCTACAGGGGGAGCCAGAGGTTGGGACCTCCATGGTGGGCAGTGGTCTGAACCCCTATATGGACTTCCCGCCTGCTGATACCCTAGGTTATGGGGGACCTGAAGGGACAGCAGCTGAGCCTTATGGAGCTAGGGGTCCAGGCTCCCTGCCTCTTGGATCTGGTCTACCCACCAACTACGGCCACAATCCCTGTCCCCAGCAGGTCTCCTATCCTGACCCCACCCCAGAAACATGGGATGAGTTCCCTGCCCACTCTGGGCTGTACCCAGGCACCAAGGCTCCAGCTGGAGCTTATAGCCAGTGTCCTCGTCTTGAACATTACGGACACGTGCAGGTCAAGCCGGAACAGGGGTGTCCAATGGGTTCTGACTCCATAGGACTGGCACCCTGCCTCAATGCCCACCCCAATGAGGGGTCTCCATGCCCACAGCCTCTGTTCTCCCACTACCCCCAGCCTCCGCCTCCTCAATATCCCCAGTCAGGCCCTTATAGCCAGCCGCGCCCTGATTACCTTCCTTCAGAATCCAGGCCTGGCCCGGATTTTGATCACCCGGCTCATTCCACAGGACAGCTCAAGGCTCAGCTTGTGTGTAATTATGTTCAGTCTCAACAGGAGCTGCTGTGGGAGGGTGGGAGTAGGGGAGATCCCCCAGTCCAGGAACCTCTCTACCAGAGTCCCAAGTTTCTGGGAGGTTCCCAGGTTAACCCAAGCCCTGCCAAGGCCCCAGCGGCCGCATATGGACCTGGCTTTGCACCTAACTTGCCCAATCACAAGTCAGGCTCCTATCCTACCCCTTCACCATGCCATGAAAATTTTGCAGTGGTGGGGAACAAGGCTTCCCATAGAGCAGCAGCACCACCACGACTTCTACCCCCACTGCCCACTTGCTATGGGCCCCTAAAGGCAGGGGGCACCAACCCCAGCTGTGGGCACCCCGAGGTGGGCAGGTTGGGAGGGGGTCCTGCCTTATACCCTCCTCCTGAAGGACAGGTGTGTAACCCCCTGGACTCTCTTGATCTTGACAACACTCAGCTGGACTTTGTGGCTATTCTGGATGAGGCTCAGGGGCTGAGTCCTCCCCCTTCCCATAATCAGGGGGACAGCTCTGAACACACATCACCTCCTTCTGGAGCCCCCAACATGGCTGTGGGCAATATGAGTGTCTTACTGGGATCCCTGCCCGGGGAGACACAATTCCTCAACTCTAGTGCCTAAAGTGTGGAATCCCACCCATCAGAAACCCACATTTCCTAAGGGGTGTCCATCCCCCCAGAGAAGTCAGGAGAAGGAGCCATAGCCCCTGGGATGCCCCAGGGATAGGAGGTAGGGGCCGGGGGCTGTATAAAATCTGTATATATTTGAAGGAGGGATTTGATAATGACACTGTTTCCTAATAAAGGAACTGCATCAGAAAGAGCCCTGTTTTATGTGCTATTATCTTGGGGAGAGGTGATGACAGAGAACAAGAAAAGAAGCAGGGGTTAATCCCCCTACCTTCCTCTTTAGAGAAGTTACCTCACCACATCCCAACCCCTCAGGTCAGACTCACAAAGATGGAGACAGTCACCTGGAAGACATGGGATTTAAAGGGATGTCCTCAGAACACACCACACCACACCACCAAAGGGTACCGTTGGAAACACGTTTTCTCTTCATCTGTGCCCCAGTCAGGGGAAGAGGCTGGTGAAGTCAGTGAGCATCAACTGGACTAGCTGCCCAGGGTAGAAAGCATGGGCCGCTGGGTCAGATGTCTCCTGCTCGGGCCGAAACAGGGTTGGTCCAAACACAATTCCCAGATTGTGGGGGGTCATGCGGTTCTTATCTGAGTGTGCTATCACCCTGTGGGCAAAGGCCAAGAGAAGGGTCTATTAGGAAGCAACTTTGCCATGTCAGATAAATCTAACCCTTCAAAGATTTGATCAAGGAAGAGTTCACTCTGGGATCCTTCCATGTGGTGGCCAAAGGAAAGCAAGGAGGGAGAGCCTCAAGGGCATGGAGATAGGACCAGTGGAGAAACCTTCAGGAGACAACTTGAAGATTCAAGCTAAGATACAACCACCTCTTCCCAGCATCAGAGACTGCCCCTAGAGTCCTCTCTGCTCACAATTTGGGAGACTTTAATTCAAATGGCTATCCTCTCTCAGAAGTCACTGCTCAGGCCCAGCTCAGCCAAAGAAGCCATCACCACTGTTCCAATGGGAAACAAAGAGGCAGAGGGAAGGGAGAGGTTAGATTTCCCTTATTTCTCACACAGCATCACTGTGCTTGCCTTGGTCCCCATTTGCCCATTTGAGGCTGACCAAAAGGTTTTGACCCCTGCATAGAGGTTGCCATTTCCTCAATCTGCTCTATACTTGAGTGTTTCCCTACCTTCACCCCATTCAAATAGAGTCCCTGCTGCATGCCCCACCTCACAACCTCTCTGAGTGAACAAAGATATTCAGTTTTTCCAACCTGCATAGATGCTCCAGGAGGTACCGCAGAGTGTCATGGTTGGGCTTTGGCATTGAGGCTATTAATTCTCGTATTTGAGAGAGGCGCTGTTCTGGTTCTGAGAGTGCTAGAGAGAGAGTAATGGGAAGGGCATGGGGGTGAGCTTAGGGAAGGTGCTACTGCAGGGTGGGTAACTTATTACTCTTTCCCAGGCCCATGGAAGATATCATTTATCCATCAGTTTTCTTTTTCCCTGAGCCCAACTGCAGCCCTAGAATTCTTTTCAGTTCAGCCCTCTAAACATTCTCACACACACACACACACACATGCACACAAACACACAACTGGAGTTGGCATGTGTCGAAAGTTATTTCCCATCTCAGTTCAGACAGCAGATATAAGGGTACCTCTACTTTACTCCATTCTTTACCACTCATGCCTCCCCACAGTATCAAGGGTGTTGCCCAAAGCCCCCATCCCTTACCAAGGGCAGCACGAAAATGGGGCAGCAGCGGGGGGGGGACCAGAGGCTGGGGTAGCTCCCTGAGAAAAAGCTTCAGGGCTCCAGTGACCACATGGATGTCATCCCACTCAGCACTGTCCAAATCTAACCGGCCTTCTGGAAGGAGAAGGAGATACAGAGGGGTTCAGGGCTCATGAAGGGCCAGAGGGACCCAGAGACTGAGAGATCAGGGGTTTGGGAGAAGATCCAGCTGAGGCAGACCACAGGAACGCCTGGGGTCTGCAGTGGGGCACTGGGGGTGGGGCCCACCTTCCAGGAGCAGGACATGGGGGAATTCACAGGGAGCAGGAAAGATGCGGGGAACTTTGAAGGGTCTAAGGGGCCTTCCATGTAAGTACCTTGTCCTGGTTGTTCTGGGAACACGTACCTCCCATCAGAGGTAACCGCCCGCTCTGTAACATGTATGAGAAGAGAAGAGCTAAGACATGCAGTCCCAGCCAGAAGACCTCCCTGTTCTGCCAGCTTCCTCACTCGGAACTGCCCATGGTTCTGAGACACGCAGTTCTTCGCACACCACCTGCCCGCAGGCCTTCTCACCTCTGTCCACCAGGAAACGAAGCTTCTGAACCACTGCCAAGTTCCCGCTCACCCGGTAAATGCCATCCACATCTAGACCTAGGAGATGAGGCAAGGAGAAGATAAGGATTCCTGCTCTAGGTGTGTGTGGTTAGGTCTGTCTGGTGAGAGATACAAGGGTGGGGAGGAAAAGTTAAAAAGAAGATGAAGGTGAGGGAGGTGGGGAATTCTAGGCCTTGGCCAGTTGAAAGGGTAGATCCCGGAGTCTCTGGGAAAACGACCTCTCTTATCTACAGCAGCAACGCAGAGCCGCACGAAGCTGGGCACGGTGTCTCCTTCCCGCTGGCACAGTGATTCCAACTGGCAGCCGAATACCTGGTCTGGGGAGACACAGAGCGAGGTGGGAAGCCAGTGCCAGTGTCACCCATGGCAGCTCTTCTCAGCACAAGCCTTCACCCCAAAGTTGAGCTGGCCCTCTTGTTCTAGGCCTGTACAAGGAGGACACCCACCTCCCAACATCAGCAGTGGTGGGAAAAGCAGTGGTCTCAGAAGACCGCTGATCTGTTCCGGGAAATTCTATCCGAGCCTCGCTGAGGTTTTTCTCATTCACTCAACGGGCTGCTGCCCAGATCAGGAGCGTAAAAACACCCCGGGAGGCACGGAGAAAAGCGCCAGCTGGCCCAGCCCGCCTCACCTCGGAGCAGACCCCGCTCCTGCAGGCTCTGCAAGGGCGGTCTCTTAGCGATAAGCCGCTTTAGCTTGTTCCGCACGCGGTTCTGCTCAGTTCCTTCGGGGCAGCGACCTGTAGGAGGCCGGTGGGACCCGAGTGAGCGACGCTGCCCGGAGGAGGAACCTGGAGGCGCGCCCCAAGTCCCGCCCCGCAGGCCCGCCTCTAACTGGAGCTCCGCCGGCCGCCGAATCGCAGCAGGGGCTTGGACGCGGGCTCCGGCTCCTCCTCGTCGTCCTCCCCGGCGCTCAGCTCCGCCAGCTCGGCCGGCCCGGAGCCCGACAGACGCAGCTCCAGCGGGTTCTCCCGATCCTAGCCCCGGACGGGCGAGGTGGGGGAGAGAAGAGAGAGGTCTGCGCCCCCAGCTCGAAGCAAGGAGACCCTAACTGGCTGCTGGGGTCCCACGTCCCAGCCCCACTCCAGGGCTCTACACTGAGACCACCCTGACCCCCATCACCCCCAATCCGGCAGTGCTGGCCCCGCGCCTCGGCCCC